AAGACCAGCCAGGGAACATCCAAGGACCAGCCAAAGACTAGCCAAGGACCATCCAAAGACCATCCAAGGAAAGTGGGGAAATTCTGAATGGCTACGACTGTAGAAGCTGAAGGTGTAGTTGCACTAACCTGGCCTGCAGCTCCAAAGATCTCTGCTTCCCAGACACCAGGAACGTCCTGCAGGGAACAGCAACGCCGCTCGTCTCCTTCAGCTGTGGACAGAAACACTCGTTGTCAGTTGAACCGACCAAAACTCTTCCAGGTCGGTGCGATCAGGAATGTTCCTGCTGGCTCATGGCGAGTCGTTCTGAGCACGCTCAGAATCAAACCTCTATTTGAGCTTTTCTGGCTGCAGGAGGAGCTACAGGTTCTGGCCTCTATCAGTTTGTTCCGTCTGGACCTGCAGGTGGTTCCGATTCTGGTGCTCTAAAGCGCCATTAACCTGCCTCCATCTAAGAATCAAAGCAGAGCCGCCAGCAGGGGGCGCTGCGTCTCACCTCCATGCCTTCCACGTCGATGCGAGCTCGGACGCTGTACTTCTGGCCAATCAGACGCAGCTTTGGGACACAGTAGAGCAGTCTGTCGTTAAACTGAAGAGAAAAACAGGTGAGTCGTCAGTACCTGAAGACTGGACCATCTGGGTGAGCCTAACAGAACCAACTGTACCAGGATTAGGTATCGGTCCTGCGTGGTGCCGTTCTTATTGGACAGTTTGAGGATGTGTCCTTCTTTGATGAGCTCATTAGTCGGGTTAACGATGTCCTCCTCTCCTCCCAGAAGCTCGTACACCTTCAACAACTTCCTCATTCGCTCCTGGAAAAAAAGACAGGAAGCTGTAGTCAAAGAGCCTCCATTTCCATTTGGGTTCACCAGAACCCAGCGGGGATGAGTAATTCAAGAGCACACCTCCAGGAATGACAACAGAACTCTTCATCAGACCTCTTTAAAACAGACCAGGTGATCAACCCCTCAGAGAAGCAAATATTCAGCGGACGAGCGAGTATTCCCCGGTGGTGGTTTGGACACATTTAGGGCCTGACTTTCAGAAGGGCGACACATTTTAAAACAGGTATGCTGCTGGTAGGAAGATGTTCTTTTACAGGCTTTGCATGAAGCACAGTTTCTCCAAAAAACCATAAAATCAATCCTCTGGACTTTTTTTCCAAGTTTGAAGACGTTTCTCTTCCATCCAGGAAGCTTTTTCAATTCAAAATGTCAGAAATAGCGTTTAGTTCCAGGTTTTATCCAGCAGCCCAACAAAGCCTGGTTTTAGTTTAGAAAACATGCAAATAGAAACGGATGAACGGGTCCACCCCTTTGAATTAGATATTTTGAATTGAAAAAGCTTCCTGGGTGGGAAGCAAAACATCTTCAAACTTCAAATTTGTCCAGAGGATTGTTTTTTTTTTACTTTTTTGGCATGACTATGACCTGGATGACTGAGAATCTTCACCAGCATAGCTGATCATTTGTTTCCAGGAACTAGTCTATGCCCAAATCATTGTTTGGATCCATTGTTTGCGGACATTAGTCTGTGTCAGATTAAGGTGATTAAAAGGAACTAGTTTGTTTTTTTGTTTTGCAGGAATATATTTGTAATTAGTCGGCTGCTTGCAGAAATTAGTCTGGCCCAATCACCCTTTTTTTCACAGGATTCAATGTTTATCTAGTCCTTTCTTTGGGATGCTGGATAAAACCTGGAACTAAACGCTATTTCTGACATTTTGAATTGAAAAATCTTCCTGGATGGAAGAGAAACGTCTTCAAACTTGGAAACAAAGTCCAGTGGATTGATTCTTTAAGTTTTTTGTTACAGGTCATGATTCATGTTCTCCACCCGGTTTTTCCCGCACCCCTGATTTGGGTGCATGGTTCTGTGCACCCACCCATCCAATCACCACCATTACAGAATGTGGGCTGGTACCACCATGACTCTGCAGGTCTCATTGGGTCACATGGTTCTGACCGGACTGAGTTTTCTTACCATCTTCCTGATGGCGGCGTTGGAGTGTTCTGCGGCCGTGGCGATCAGCTCCAGAGACTCTGCAGAAAAACATGAGATGTTTGATGACATCATCCGTCTTCGGTTTCCTGTAGCACCTATTTGGGAAACAGCGCCCCCTACAGGGGAGGTTCCCCCACATTACAAGCAGCCAGACCAGCAGGATCAGTCAGTCTACTGACAGCCCTGAAAGGGCGGGCCAATGATTGGCTAAGGGGGACCATCCCTGGCCCCCTCTAGCTCCGCCCCTTGGTTTAAGAAACCTGTAGAAGGTTTTTAGAAACAGAAAATGTTCTAAAGAAACTGGAACAGAAATCAAAAAGAAAAAACTTTTCAGCTCCAGTTGGACTTTTTCCCCAGGAGCAGTTTTGTTTTAGTCAACGATGACGAAATTATTTCATTGATGCTCCTTTTTTCCTGACGCAGCTTTGCTGCTCCAGCTGTGCGTCAGATCGTTTCACATTTTTTTCGTCTGTTATCATCAGTCCATCAGGCTGCATTCCAGTAAAGGTTCTTCATTTCTACGGCGTTAATGTTTACAAAAAACTGTTTTTGTTTATTTATTTTGGAATAAATAAACTCTGAAAAACTTCTCAATCAAAAAATATTTGCTGTTTTCTTAGATTTTATTTTTTTCCATTTGATCTTTTTTTTATTACGTTTTTTTTATTGTGTTTCTCAAAAGTTCAGTAATATTTCTGTGTGTTTGCACAGACGGATGTTTGGGGTGTTTGTTTTCATACTCTGGGCGTCCCTGCGGTCCGGGGCGTCCTCAGGCAGCCGGTTCAGGTAGTCTTTGAGCAGAAGCTCGTAGCGGGGGATCCTCTGGACCGGCTCCAGCATGTGGTGCTGCAGGGTCAGGTTCCCGCAGCGCTCCTCCCTCTGCACAGACGCCACAAACCCAACATGAGCTGGGAACCACAGCGGATGGCTGGAAACAGACCCAGACAGAGAACCGTACCTGGATCTCCTGAATGATGGCCTTGAACTGAGTGGACCTCTCCATCCAGATGTTCACCAGCTCCATGGCTCGGTCAAAGTTCTTCACATACTCTCCGTACATCTTCAGGAAAGGAGCCAGCTTCTGGAGGATGTCTCCGATCCGAGGGTTGGAGTCCCTGCAGCCAATCAAAGATTTGACATCAGAGCAGAGGCGTGGGGCAGAGGAGGAGGGGCGGAGCTTCGCCAGGTGCTCACCACTCCTCCATGCGCTTCTGCAGTGCAGGCAGCAGGAACTGCTGGTGGAAGCAGTAGATGGAGCAGATGTTGGAGAAGATCCCCTGGACCACGTCGCACGGGAAGGAGGAACGGGACCGCGCCTCCTCCAGGAGTCTGGCACAGAAAACCTGCAGGAGGAGGCGGTGTTAGAGGCTGCGTGGTTCTAGATCATCCGGGGGCGGGGCTCCTGCATCACTCACCTGGTCCAGCAGGTGGAGCTTTGACACGTAGGCGATCTCTGTGAGCAGCAGCTCGTTAGCGATGTTGAAGACCCTCTGATGGACAGACAGCTGGACACAGAGACAAGGTTCAGGTTCTGCTGCTCTGATCCCGTCTTTACCTTCTAAACCTGTCTTACCTCCACAGAGTCCTGTCTGTCTGTTTTGGGCGGGACCAGCACCATGGTTAGCTCCGCCTCCTCCTCCAGGTCGCTATCTCCCTCCTCGGAGAACTCCCTCCTCCTCCTCTCCCCTCCCCTGGCCACCCTCTCCTCCCCCTCCCCGGTGGTAGAGGAGGAGCTGGAGAGGCGGGGCAGGAGGGCGGGGCTGCATGGATAGGCCACGCCCCCATCGTCCACGCTGGCGAAGCAGAGCTCCTCGCTGTGAGACGGTGAGCTGATGCTGTCAATGCCGCTGTCTCGGTTCGCCAGCTTCCCGTCCGTCTGGGAGGAGGGGAGGGACAGACGCTCAGAGGGCAGCTCTGATTGGTCGAGGAGTATCTGTGGCTGCTGGTCATCCGTTTCCACGGTAACCACATCATCGTCAAGGTTCTTCTCAGAGGCGCTGTAACCTGACTCCATGGACAGGCGCTTCTGATGGACATCGTCACGACACGCTGCCACAAGCTCTTCATCCTCCTCATCATCATCATCCTCATTATCCTCATCTTCATCACACAGCTCGCCATCCCCACCGCCTGCAGGGTCCCTATCTGGCTCCACCCCCTCGGGTCGGGAGGGGGCGGGCGAGGCAGACGATAGAGGGGATGAAGATCGGGAGGTGGGGGGGTCCAGGGGGCGGGGACACAGAGCCCCCCCGGTGATGTCAGGAACCACGATGATCTGCTCTCTGGAAAACAAAGCAGACATGAACAATGGAGAACAGTGATGACATCACTTCCTCCCGACCAATCACAACTTACCGCTCAAATTTCTCTATGAGCGACAGGACGCAGGTGGGGGAGGCGGTGCCATCGGTCCGAGTGGGAGGTGTCCAACCACCCCGGGGGTCTGTGGGGAGAGGTCTGCAGGGGGCTGGAGGCGGTGGGGGCTTCTCTTGGATTCGGGGGCGTGGCCTGATCAGTCCAGCCTGCTGTTGGAGGTGGGGGGGCTTCGGGGGGACTTTTTTTGGAGGGGGGGTTATAGATTAGCATTGTTTCCACTTATGAGAAATGAAAGGTAAACTCAGTGTGGGGTGCTCACCCTGAGGTTTAGGTCCCGGCAGCGGTGGGCGGACCCGGTTCGGCGCCGTTACCGTGGTAGCTGGCAGTTCTGGTGGACCCGTGTCGTTCACAGAAACACAGCAATCCACTGGCTCCGCACCTTCCTCCAAAGAACCGGACCCCGGTTCAGAGTCAGACTGCGGAGTGTCACCATCCAGCACCCCCTGGTGGCCACAAGGAGAGCAGGACGGCTCCAGAGAGAGGCCCTTAGCCAGCAGGCTGGGGCTGGTGGAGGAGGCGGGGCCTGAGAGGGATGGGGAGGATAGAGGTCAGACCACAGGCCTCATTTCATGCTGATATTATATTTAATGAATTAAAAAAATAAAGATTTCATTCATTGCTTCCCATAAACCTGCAGTTCTCTGCTGCATCTTCAAAGAGTTATGCTCTCAATGACCTACAGGGGGCGTTTTCTACATCGGTTCCAACAGCTTCACCAAAAACCTCAGGTCCAAATGGGTGGAGTGGGTTCTGGAGCAACATCTCCACTAATCCCAGAGGAATTAATCTCCTAATAGAATCTGTTAGGATTTAAAAACTGTCTCACTAAATTTTCTTTAAGGGGTGAAGCAGAAAAATAAAGTCATAAAACCAACAGCAGCCTGTTTATAGAGCAGCTCTAATGGTTCCCAGTAAAACAGACAGCTGTGACCCAGTAAGGGTCGGACTGATCCAGCCAATTAACGGAGCTCCAGCTACCGAGGAGAAATTCATTATGGGAAAATGTGTCCAGTGGCTCTGTGAGCAGCAACATCTCGGCAGCTTCCTGCAGCAGAGCCTGGGCCAAACAGGAAGACTGTGTGTGGGGGGGTGGGGTGGTTCAAACGTGAACTTGTTGGGAGGTCATGAGAAAGCCGGTGCGGAATGATCTAGAACAGATGTTGTTCTGCTGCTAAATACTCACAGGAATTCAGAACATTAGTGAAAAAAACACTTCTAACCAAACTACATTACCCACAATCCTCCAACTGCATCATGGATCAGCCAAATACTCTGATTCAAAGATTCTAAATGTTCATCACCTGCTTCTGTTCAGAACCAACAAGCACAAACAGAAAGGTTATCTATACTGTTCTCTGTCTAGATCAGGTTCTGAGAGTTTAAGATTTCTGGATTACTGGGAAGGTTCTAACATTCCGAATTACTGGGAAGGATCTAACGTTCCACGTTCCGGATCACTGACAAGGATCTAACGTTTCACGTTCCGGATCACTGGGAAGGATCTAACATTCCGGATCACTGAGAAGGTTCTAACGTTCCGGATCACTGGGAAGGATCTAACGTTCCGGATCACTGGGAAGGTTCTAACGTTCCAGATCACTCGGAAGGTTCTAAGGTTCCGGATCACTGGGAAGGATGTAACGTTCCAGATCACTGAGAAGGATCTAACGTTCCGGATCACTGGGAAGGATCTAACATTCCGGATCACTGGGAAGGTTCTAACATTCCGGATCACTGGGAAGGTTCAAACATTCCGGATCACTCGGAAGGTTCTAACGTTCCGGATCACATAGAAGGTTCTAACGTTCCGGATCATTGGGAAGGATCTAACATTCCGGATCACTGGAAAGGATCTAACGTTCCGGATCACTGGGAAGGATCTAACGTTCCGGATCATTGAGAAGGTTTTAACGTTCCAGATCACTGAGAAGGATCTAACGTTCCGGATAACTGGAAAGGATCTAACGTTCCGGATCACTGGGAGGGATCTAATGTTCCGGATCACTGAGAAGGATCTAACGTTCCGGATCACTGAGAAGGATCTAACGTTCCAGATCACTGGGAAGGTTCTAACGTTCCAGATCACTGGGAAGGATCTAACGTTCCGGATCACTGAGAAGGATCTAGCGTTCCGAATCACTGGGAAGGTTCTAACGTTCCGGATCACTGGGAAGGTTCTAACGTTCCGGATCACTGGGAAGGTTCTAACGTTCCGGATCACTGGGAAGGATCTAACGTTCCGGATCACTGAGAAGGATCTAACGTTCCGGATCACTGGGAAGGTTCTAACGTTCCGGATCACTGGGAAGGATCTAACGTTCCGGATCACTGAGAAGGATCTAACGTTCCGAATCACTGGGAAGGTTCTAACGTTCCGGATCACTGAGAAGGATCTAGCGTTCCGAATCACTGGGAAGGATCTAACGTTCCGGATCACTGAGAAGGTTCTAACATTCCGGATCACTGGGAAGGTTCTAATATTCCGGATCACATAGAAGGATCTAACATTCTGGATCACTGAGAATGATCTAACGTTCCGGATCACTGGGAAGGTTCTAACGTTCCAGATCACAGAGAAGGTTCTAATGTTCCGGATCACAGTGAAGGTTCTAATGTTCCCGATTACGGAGAAGGTTTCAATGTTCCGGATCACTGAGGAGGTTCTAACGTTCCGGATCACATAGAAGGATCTAACGTTCCGGATCACTGAGAAGGATCTAATATTATGGATCACTGAGAAGGTTCTAACATTCCGGATCACTAGGAAGGATCTAACGTTCCGGATCACATAAAGGGTTCTAATGGTCTGGATCACAGAGAAGGTTCTAACATTCCAGATCACTGATAAGGTTCCAATGTTCCGGATCACTGAGGATGTTCTAACGTTCCGGATCACTGGCAGAAAATGTTAAATATTTGGATCACAAAGAAGGTTCTTACAAATTGTCTAACCTATTCTAGATCAATGATGATCAGTTTATTAGNGGATCACTGGCAGAAAATGTTAAATATTTGGATCACAAAGAAGGTTCTTACAAATTGTCTAACCTATTCTAGATCAATGATGATCAGTTTATTAGTTGAGTTCTAGATTATTACAGAGGTTTCTTATGAATGGAATATGCTCTATAGGCCTAATTGGGATGTTCTAAACATGGACTGGGTATATCTGTTTATTTCAGATGTTCCAGCTTACTTTATGTTCTATTGGTTTAATAACTAAGTGTTCTATAGGTGTGTTAAGCTGTTCTAGAACACTAAATATGTTCTCTTTATAGTATAATAAAGTAGTTGGACACATTCTAATGGTCTATAAAACATTTTCTAGATCACCGAATATGTTCTATTAGTTCATTTAAGATGTTCTAGATTATTAAATATGTCCTATTGGTTTTAAGATGTTCTATTGGTTTGGTGAAAATGTTCTAGATCACTAAATGTGTCCTAGTGTTTTATTTAGGATGTTCTAGATTGTAAAATTCAATCCATAATTTTATAAACTGTTCTAGATCATCTGAATGCTTTTTATTGATTTATTTAGTATGTTAATCATACACATATGTCCTATCTTTTTATTTAAGGTGTTCTAATTACTAATGTTCCCCACATGTTCCCTGTTGGTCCATCTAGACACCCTGTCTACTTTTAAGGCTAGGCTTAAACTTTCCTTTTTGATAAAGCTTCTAGTTAGAGTGGCTCAGGTTATCCTGATCTATCTCTATAGTTCTGCTGCTATAGGCTTAGACTGCTGGAGGACATAGGGACCCCTTTTTCATCATTCTGCTTCATTCTATCTCTATTCTCCCACTCTGCAGAATCTGTTAGTTCAATCTCTAACGTTCTGCTCTCTCTGCTTTTTCTCATAGTAGCTTCATCTGGTCTGTTCCTGTTTGGCTGTGACTCCATCCTGGAGAGAAATATCAGCTGTGCTGCTGCCATCAACACCTTTGTTTCTAGATGTTGGAGATCGGCCTGTTTTCCAGTGTAGTCCTGTTTCTCTGACTGTGACTAACTGGATGTGCTCTCTTCATCCTCTGACATGGGAGCTGGCTCGGAGCTCGTCTGCCTGGCTGTGTGTTTCCTGGACGGGGCCGCCTGTGGAGCTGGTTGACAGTTGCCTTTTGTATCTATGCTTCTTTTTCTATGTCTGCTTCTGTCTCCTTGAACCCCAGTGGGCCTCAGCAGATGGCCGCTCACACTGAGCCTGGTTCTGCTGGAGGTTTCTTCCTGTTCAAAGGGAGTTTTTCCTCTCCACTGTCGCTACAAGCATGCTTAGTGTGAGGGATTGCTATAGAAATAAACTGAATAGAATCTTTTTTCTGATAAGCTACTTTCGATCTAATGATCTAGATGAGGACTTATGTTCTAGCTAAGGGGTTTTCAACATTTTCCAGGCCAAGGACCCCCAAAATGATGGAGATGGAGCAGGGACAAGGTTCAAGGATCAAACTGGTCCTATAGTCACTCTATTACAGATGGAGTAATGTAACTAAAGTAATCCCTCCCTGGGATTATTAAAGTATTTCTGATTCCTGGTTGATGGGACAGGTGTTGTGAATGAAACGGTGCCCAGCTTGAAAGAGCTCCTGTGTGTCTCTGAATGTGAGCATTGATGACTGAAAGACATCTTCTGCCTCCATTTATCTGTTTACTACAGTCTGTTGGATTCATGTTAATGTGGATTTAAAGACATTTCAATTAGTGGAAAAAATATTGCAGGGAGGAATATAAAAAAAAAATAAAAAATCAACCAAAACTTTCGTGACCGCCATGCAGTATCTCTGTGTACCCCCTATGGGTCGCGGACCCCCTGTTGAAGACCTCCGTTCTGGTACATGTTGAGAACCTGGTACTGAAAGGAGTGACCTCCATTTTGGTCAAATAAATTTGTTCCTTCCTACTGATTCCTGCTCTTTAAAGGTTCTGTTTGGAACCATGATGAGGAACCTTCTCCGTTTCCTGATCTTCTTCCTACTGGTGGTGGATCTAGAAGTTCTCCTCAGACCGAAGGTGCATGTTAGGAAGACTCGCTTTAATCGGACCCAGACCTGATCCGGTTTGTCTTTAGAACAGGAGTCCTTGGTGGTAAAGAAGCGCCGGCCGGTCAGGAAAAACAGGAAGAACCAGGAATCTGCTGCATGGAGCAGGTTCTGGACAAAAACCTTCAAGGAAAGAACCCAGAACCATTAAAGGTTCCTGCAGGTTCCTCCTGCAGATCCATCACCCTGTTTTAATCGTGATGCTGTGTGGAGGTTCAATCACTGAATGGATCATAATGTTTATCAGAACCTGCAGGCTCGGTTCTGCTGGCAGCCCCCCCCCGGCTGGTCCAATCAGGAGGGTCTCTGATGCTATGAAGCCTACGTGCCTGCACTGCTGTCATACATGTGCGGCCGCGCTCATGCACACGCGGGCTCGGTTCGGCCGCCAGTGGATGGATTCGGACAGACAGCAGCTCATCGATCCGATCGATACCGTTCATCAGCAGGAGGGTCACGTGACTGCGGCGGGGCCTGTGCCACA